GCCACTAGCATCTGAAAAATGAGAAACAATCAAGTCGGTACAAGATAATCCAAATGAAGCAACAATGCGATGGAAGTAGGGTCTCCATAACAGATTTTTAGACCAAAAGTTCATATTATCAACCATTCAACCTGGTAAGGTATCAATTCCACAAATATTAGGACAGAAAAGGTGTTTACAGCAAATTCCAGGATAACAGCATCCACTAACCTGTTACTAAATGTGTAGTACACATGAGATGACACTTCAAAGCATGTGGTACATGTGAAGATGGTAAAGGATCAAAACAGAATGATAACAAGAACATCTTCATTAAGCAGAATGACTTGGTCAAACAATAAACAAAAACAGGCTGAGACAATATTATAGTTGTTTACCATTCGATGTGTATCGAGAAGATAAATTCATCCGACCACCCCTATTTCCACGTCCCTGTGTACCAGTTCTCCACCGAGGTTCTGCAGACTCTCTGTTCAGATTCTGCAGCATCAAGGAAGACATTTTGATAACAGATTAATCTGAAATCAAAACTGTGCTAATGAAGCAATCAGTAAAAACAGAAATGGTAAGATTCCCCCAGAGCAAATCTCCAAACCAGGTCTCTTTATAAACCCAACAATTCAACCTTTCCTCGTTCCTCTATGCCTTTTTTCTGAGACAGTCTTGTTCCTCTATCCTCCGCCAACAAGAACTCTCCATTTTCCCTTTTCTTAGGAACCTTTCTAGGCATTTTTGGTACAGTAGTATGCATTTATAATGAAAAATATATTGACCAATAGATTGATAACAAGAACCTGTAACAGAATCCAATTATTGTTATTCCAGGGGCGATTGTCATGATCAAACTGAAAAAATAATACGTTAGTTAAGCAATGTAGCTAGATATTTTAATTTCTGCAATTTTTTGTCTCTAACATCAGGGTCCTTACGTAAGTCCTGCAGCATCATACCTCTGTACTATGCCAGCTGTGTTCTGGCCTATATATACTCCTGTACCCTGTAACAGGAATGGTAATGAAATATCTACAATTATTCCACCATCCCTCAGCATTCTATTCTTCTCTCTAACCTCTTCCCTCTATTCTACTCTCTTTTCTCTCTTAACCGTATCTCCACTCTACATTCTTTCCTCCATTGTTAACCGAATCAGGCTACCCGGTAGCACAGCTAGTGGTATGAAAACTTGGTACCAGAGCAACACAAACGTGTTGAAGCTCCAGTCTACGCTTTGAAGCGGACAAAGAACAAAGGCAAAGTTGTGGTGTCTAATTCAAAGATGGTAACACAGGTCAAAGAATCCGTGAAGGGGACCGACCACCATAAGCAGGACATGGCAGATATGTTCACTACCCTAGACTCTAAGCTGGCCAAGAAAACAGTTCAGAGACAAAACGTATTGGTAGAAACCATGCAGTTCCTGAACATGAGCCAACCACAGGCTCCTCCAGCCTCCTCTTCCATATCCACATCAAACCACCCAAACCTTCCTCAACCTCCAATCCATCCACATACCATCAGCCAACATCCTCAGGCTAAAGGTCTTCTTTCCCATGCATGGAGGAAGGGAAGCCAATGTCCACGGCCTAGTGTCTAACTCCCTCAATAGTGGGGGGCCAAACACCCCCAGAATAAACATACCACTGTTTGATGGATCTAACACCGAGATCCTGGCTATGGAGATGCAAAAAACATTTTCAGGGATGCCTAAAAAAAAGGTGGTGGAAATAGCCACCCTGTTTCAGGGTGATTAACCAGATATACGGTATCACGGTGGCAGATGCAACGAGGAGATTTTGGAGAATGGGCTGCCTTTGAAGAGGAAATTTGCAGAAGGTTCAGAGACCCACCATCTTTAATGAGGTGGAGAAGTTGAACAAACTTAGACAAGAAGGCACCACAGTGGAATACCAAGAGAGATTGAGGCATTGAGATCTATAATAATGCTCAAGGTCCCTTATCTAACCAAAGCATACTTTTATTTCCAGCTTTATTAGTGACCCTTGGTGAAGAGTTAAGGCCAAACCCTCAAATTATTCAAGCTTCCAAACCTTAAAAATGGCTTATGAACAAGCACAATTGAAATCCTAGCACATAGAGGCAATGCTTAAACGCCAAAGAAACACTGATTGCTCTACCCTACTCCAACAAATCCACAAGTCTTGCAGCTCACCACTCAACCAACCTACAGCTAAAATGATTCCGTCTTAATCACCAAGTGCTTATAACCAGAAATGAAACAACTTGGAGCCTATTGTGGGAGAGGTATTTTTCAGGAACCTTTGTAAACAGAAGAAGTTGCTGCTGACTGAGACAACAGAAGACGAGGAGGAAGAGGTAGAGGTGAATGAGAAGGGGAAAGTGACAACCTAGGAAGTGAAGGAAGAACAAGACAAGGGAGAGATTTCCTTGCAAGCTTTAGAAGGGCAGGAGAGTGGCTGCACCATGAAGGTATGTGGTTCACTTCGCTCCAAACTGGTTCTCATCTTAATTGACAATGGCAACCAGCACTCATTTGCCGATAGCAAGGTTGCTTGGAGACGCAAGGCATAATGGGTAGATATGCCTCCTCTTCATGCTCTGGTAGCTAATGATCAAGTCACCATAGAACTTCCGAGATAGACTGGGTCATCATGCAAAAGAAAGTGTTCAGGTACTCCTTATTTGCCCTTAGACCTCGGCCACTTTGACATCAACCTAGGAGAAGATTGGATGAGAGATAACTGTCCAGTCCTTTTGGACTTCAAAAACTTGCCGATCACTGTGATGAAGGCAGGGAAACCATTGGTGATACAAGGGGTAAACAAGATGGGCGTTATGAAGGGAATCACAGAGAGGGGACTGTCATAACTCATATAAAGAGAGGCAAGAGCTAGCAACCTGATTTATTTGGTGGAGTGCGTTTCTGAGATGACTACGGGAGAAGTGGAGGCTGCAGCTGCAGAAGGGGAACCAGATGAAGCTATAAGGAACCTAATCAAGCAGTATGAACAGGTATTCAATGAACTTGTCTCCCTTCCACCATCCACGGAGCTTGACCATTCCACACAGTTAATTTATGGCTCCTCCATCAATGTCAAGCCCTACAGATATTTTAATACCAGAAAATAGAAATTGGGAAACAAGAAGCCATGATTCTTGATAGTGAAGCCATCGAGCCTAACCGTACCCCTTTGCTTCCCAGTATTGCTAATAAAGAAGGATAGAAGCTAGAAATTTTGTATAGACTATAGGCAGCTCAATGTCATTGCCATCAAAGATAAGTTCATAGTCCTATCATAGATGATCTTGGAGACAAGTTACAAGGTGCCATGATGTTCTCAAAGGTGGATCTAGGGTCGAGGTACCACCAAATTCGTGTTAGCCTGAAGACACATAAAACTGGCTTCAAAACTCACCATGGCCGATTTGAGTTTAAGGTCATGTCATTCAGCATAAACAATGTCCCTGCTGCCTTTCAAGCTTGAGGAGAAGGGTTTTTAGACCTTATTTGAGAAAGTTTGTACTAATATGCGTTAATGATATAGTAGTCCACAGCCCCACCTTGGATGAACATTTTGAACCATCTAGGAAAAGTCTTTCAGGTCTTACCGTGGCTAAGAAAATGTATTTTTGGGAGAGGTTTGGTGGAGTGTTAGACATCTCA